ATTAATAGCAAAGGTGTTCTACCGCGACACTCAGATGCACCTGCCCTATGCTGTCCTTAGCACAGAATGACAACATGGAGATAAATACCTGTGATACAAGCATTATGTTCTCCTACCTTATTCCTCATCATAGGAAAGCCATGCCATTTTTCTCCATGTTGCAGACCTAAGAAAGACTTACATTTTTCTTTTACATTTCCCCTGAGGAGCAAATTTCAAAAGAAACAGTCATATCAACCAAAAGCAATTTGTGTACCTGAAGTGCTCAGAAATGCCCAGCCCGCAGAACCATAATTAGCATCTCATTGCACACATTGGCCCTAACAAGCACTCCTTGGCCCCACAAAGGTAATAATTGTAATTCTTCTTCACTCCCTTTAAATTAATTTGTCCTTGGGGGGGTCACAGGACTGCCCGGTTAGCAGCCCTGACATCTAACCTCATAATTGCACTAAACTATAGCCAAGCAAGCCTCCCTTAGCAATCACTTTTTTAAAAAATATGTTTTTATTCAAATCCTGGTGTTTAGAAAATAGGCAGTGAGGGACACAGCTGACCTAGACCTTGAGGTGATTTCCACACTGTACGAGTAATGCATCAGAGCATTCTACTCTGCTGGGGATTAACAGGTATTTATTTATAAAGCACTATTTGGTGACATTGTTCTAAGTGATATGAATTGGAGAAAATACACAGCCATACCTTTCCCTTGAATTTGCTAATCTTGGTTGATTTTAACCCATTGTCTCTTCCTTCATTTAGTTCATAAACATATTTAATAATGATAAAACAAGGTTCAACTGAAGTAAACAAAGTACAAAACTTATGGAGATTTGGGAAATCAAGTTGATGCCATAGATTTAAAGTGGCAACTCTAAACATTACAAATAAACAAACATTTTTTGAGTTCCTACTGTTGGACAGGCTTTGTGCTGATATTTTACACTTACTATCTTATTTCATATTCACAACAACCTGCTGAAATAGATTTCATCTGTCTTAATTACAGAGTAGAATATGAAGTTCATTGATAGTGTCGATTGCCCAAGATCATGTAACTAACTCATAGGTGGAGAAGCCAGATTCCAAACTGATATCCCAGATCATTTCCACTATTTCGTGCAACTCATAAACAAGCAATCATTGCATTCTTTCCCTCTGCTAAAACCATGCTCTCCTGGGAACAGGAGGATGCATCTGCTGGGAAAGCAGGTGAGGAGTCCAGGCAGTCAGATCTGGCAGCACCCAGTGGGTGCTGGGATCCACATGCTAGACAAAGCTCCTAAAACTCTGACCCAACAGGTCAAATGGAAATTGCATAGTAAAGTACTTTCCTCTGGGGCCTTGGGAAAGCCAAACCCAGAACTATTCGTGGTTACAGTCAAAACCTATTACAGAGTCCAGGAATAATTACAGGAATTACAGGATGTGTTGAGCAGAAAGAACAGCCATTCCTTGGGTCAGACTGTGCTCACAGGAGACGATCGCTGAGTCAAGCTGGGAGGAAGCTCAGAGTCGGGTGGAGAACAGAGAGATCCCAGCTGGCTGGAGTCAGTGGTCAGCTACTCTGGTAACTGCCCAGGAGGCAGTCACGTTTTGAAGTGACAGCTTCAAACCCTGGCCCTACCTGACCTTATTTTTAAACGAGTTTCACTCATGTAGGTTGAGAAGCTGTGTGGGTCCCCCCTAGGGACCCAGCCAGTGTTTGGTGATTTTAGAGAAAGCTGGATAGGGAAGTCTGACTGTTAGTTTAAACCTTTGTGTCCCCAGGATCAAGCACTGTGCTGAGATCAAAGAAGGGGCCCCAAACTATTGTGGGAAGCAGGAAGGAAAGGAAGAAATGAATAGGCCAGATTCAAGTACCATTAACACACCATTTAAAACAAGTCTGGGGGCCAGGGTTGTGTGTTAGGAAGGGACAGAAAACACCGGAACCAAACTCCCAGCTGTGGAATGGCAACCGTCAGGAAAGGGTTATGGCTGAGGACCCCCATCCTTGGAAAGGGCACAAGGAACACATCCTGTCTCCAAGTAACTGGGAAGGTCATTGTGGGGCTGTAATCACCAAGACACATGAAGGAGGTGAACCTCAGGTACAGGACACGGAGGCATCCACGACAGTGGACCATTAGTCAAACCTGTGACTAGGTTAGTCCCCTTCCTAGGCCCATCATCGGGCCTAGGAAGAGGTGCTCCACACTCTTCATGGAGAATGTTCAAGGTCCAGGAGGCGTGGAACCTTTCTGGTGGCTGGGGACCAGTTCACTCCTTCTGCACCCTGGATGGCTGAGGGTAAGTTATGTCCTCCTTGGTTGGGTAAAAGATCTGCCTCTCCTGTTCAGTTTTTTAAAGAGAGGAAGGACAAAGGACATGGATGAATTGAACCACTACAGAGAGAAATGAGGCAGTGGGACAGATTATCCACAAGCAGAGGCCTTTCGGGAACATATGAGAGAAGGGAGCAGGGTGACCCGGAAGGGAGAGGCATGAACTTCCAGCTTAGCAAACCCTGTCATCGCAGTCCCTGGCCGTACACCCATGCTCCTGGGGGGAGGTGGCGGGGGTCATTGGCCCCTTCCTAGTATCTTCCACTACTGCCCTCTCAGTATACTTTGTACATTGTTTACAATTGCTGGACTATTCTATTCTTATCTCTAGAAACTATAAACTCCAAGAGAATAGGTAGCATGTCTATTTTTTCCTCTTTGCATCTCCAGACCCCAAGTCTGCACCCATGATGTTCAATAATTAACAGTCGGATGAACGAATATCAAGAATTTATCTCCAGCTTCAACTACAGGAAAGAAAGAGAGCATTTTAAAGGCAAAAGATAATAGAGACAGCGTCGTCCTAAGTTTCTGCTTAAAAGGCTCCTGGGGACAGCTGCATAGCAACATATAATCTCTCTCAACCCAGAGTCTGGGGCTGGAAGTCATAAAATTACAAGTAGAGAATGGATTATGAGATCATGTTGTGACTTAACAGTAATTTCTAGGTCACTTGCCTTTGATCACTGTTAATGATTATGAGCTTTTATGGAGCCCTTTCTATTTTCAGAGTTTTTTACAATCATTAATTTGTTATTTCTCACAATGTCACTACAAAGTAGATCATCATTATTATAGCATTACAGAGGCACTAGGGTGTCACGTTGGATTTCATTGACCTAGGAACGTAGCTATACTTAGTAGCTCATGTGCGCCTCTGGTTTCTGGTCTTAACACTCTATTGATGCTGCCTAGAGAGTGATACGGCTAAAGAGCAATTTTGAGAGAAACATTATAGACAGTCACAGAGAATCTCAGGAGCAGCATAGGCACTAAATTTCCAAAAGGTAAGAGATACCAGAGGGACACCTCGATGTATTCCAGAAGTGCTTGCATTAGCTTTCTGTCCATTTTCTAAAAAAAAATGACATCTCTCCTAAGGCAATGTCACCTTGAAAATATGGATTTGTTTAATATGCATAAGTCTGAAAGCAATGTGTGTAATGTGGCTTCACAATGCTGAGCCAGGTGTTTCACTAGTGATATATCTGAATCCACAACCAAATTACATTGTTCATATGGGAGTTAACCTATGGTTAGATATTCACTTCAAGGACTGAAACAAAGGTGATCACATGCTGGAAACAGTATTGCTCCAGAAGACTGGTGAATTTGTGGAGCAGCACTTCAATCATTGGGGCAGTATGTCTCCATATGCAAGGGGAGTGTTTCCACTGCCTGTCTACAGGGTGTTTTTGTCCCCTTCTCCATCATCTGACTTTCCATTTGTCCACCTGTGGAGCCTTCTCAACCAGCACTGAGATTGTCCTTGTTATGGGTTGAAATGTGTCCCTCACAAAAGATAAATTGGACTCCTAACCCCCAGTATATCAGAATATAACCTTGGTTGGAAACAGGGTCTTTGCAGAGGTCATCAAGTTAATATGAGGTCATCAGGATGGGCTCTACTCCAGTATGACTGGCGTCCTTACAAAAAGGGGAAACTTGAATACATAGACAAGCACAGAGAGGAGATGGTCATGCGAAGACAGAAGATGTGAGCGATGCCATCTACCAGCCAAGGAGCCACCGGAAGCTGGGAAGAGGTGAGCAAGAATCCTTCCCCTGCAGGTTTCAGAGGGAGCATGGCCCTGCCGACCCCTTGATGTCAGACTTCTAGCCTCCAGAAACACGAGACCAGAAATTTCTGTTTCTCTAAGCCACCCAGTTTGTGGTACGTGGTCCCTGCAGGCCCAGGAAACTAACACAGTGCTATTAATAGGTTAATCTCAAAAGGAGATGAGAAATGACATACTGTCCAAGGCCACTGCCCACTATTCAATTCTTCCCAGGGTGAAGTCACTTCCTACTCTATAATAATGTGGGTGTGGAAAGAAGAGCCCCATCATCCAGGGCGCTGGGCAATGTTTTGCATTGTTACATTAACAATCACAAGTATGGCCACAGCTCTACACTATGGAAGCAACCCTCTAAAAACAAAACAAAAAAACAAGCTTTTCATATAAAGAAACTATGTTTCTAGTTAGGGAACCCTCACTTGAAAACACATGCTTTTGGTCACATGAAGGAAAAAAGGTGTATAGAATGATCAACCTATCACCAGTATAGAGAAAGTATTTTAAATGCGTATCTTACTAGCATCCATCCACAAGCAATTTTTTAAGACATAGTAAATTAAATCAAATAATGTAGAAGAAAGGAAATAACAAAGAGGGGAGATTAATGGAATAGAAAACATGAAACAAAACCAACAAACCAAAATCAAAAGTTACTTCTTTGAAAAGACAATTAAAGGTGATAGATATTTAGCAAAACTGACAAGAACAACAGCAATAAGACACAAATTGTGAATATCAGAAATAAAAAAGGGACATCACTATAGATTATCCAGACGTTAAAAAGCTGGTAATATTTTATGAACATTATGCCCACAGATTGACAATTTAATACAATTTAATAAATATAATTAATACAATTTAATAAACTCCCAGAAAAATTAATTTAAAATTTCAAGCATACATCTATTAAAGAAACTGAATCTGCAATTTAAAACTTTCGAAGAGAAACCTCAGGGTTAGAAGGCCTTGAGTAATTCATCCAAGCATACTTAAGAATGGAGTAACACCAGTGTCAACAAATTCTTCCACAGAATACAAGAACAGAAACACTTCCCAACTCATTTTATTAGGTCAGCATAACCTAACAATGACATTACAAGAAAGGAGAATTACAGCCTGATATCTCTCATGAGCACAGATGCTAGAATCCTACACAATGTTAGTTAGCCAAGACCTCTTCACAGAAAACTAGAAGCATTTTTCAAAAACTAAAACATTCTTAAATACATGAATAAACTATAGGCAGCAACATGAAACTTTGACTTAGAAAAATGTAAATTCTCCAGCAAAGAGACATATAGACACAAAGAAATACCAGTCAAAATCTCAGAAGGTTTGTTTTTGTGAAAACTGACAAAATGACTCTAAAGTTTACATAAAAATTCAAATAATATGGTATAGGCGAGACAACCTTGAAGAACAGAGCTGGATGACTTAACACTGAAAAATACCAATGAAGACCATGTGGCTGGGCACAAGGAGAGATGAACAGACTGATGGCACTGAATGGAGAATCCAGAAATAGACTACCAAGAAATACAGATACTTGATTTGTGATAAAGGTGACATTCCAGTGCAATGGGGGGAAGTGGTGGGTTTTTCAATAAATTGGGTCAACTGGATATTCATATGGAAAAAACCATACTATGAAGTCTACAGCATTTCAGATTTAAATGTAAAAGGGAAAACAATAATGCTTCTAGACGGGAGAATATCTTCATAAACTTGGAGCAAACAGATGTCTCAACAGGACAAAAAACATTGACTGTAAAGAAAAAAATGAACATACTGGATTTCATTAAAATTAAAAATTTGTATCCATCAAAAAATAACATTGAGAGTGAAAAGGCAAGACACAGAATGGGATAAATATACATGTGTATGTGTATAAAATCTCTTGTATCTAGGATATGTAAATAATTTCTAAAATCAATAGAAAAAAAATGAGCAAAGGACTTGAATAAACATTTCAAAATAGAAAAAAAGCCAAAATAGCCATGTGAGAAGATTCTCAACATCCATAGTCACCAGGGAACACAAATTAAAAACCACAATGAGATATCGCTACCCATCATTTAAATGTTTAATGTGAAAAAGAACTACAATACCCAGTGTTGGTGAAGATGTGGAGAAATACTCATTCTTTGCTGTTGGGAATGTAAATTGGCACAACCTCTTTAGTATACTGTTTGGCAGTATCTACTAAAGCAAAGGAGATACACACCCGATGGTCCAGTAATTTCACTCCTAGGTATATATTCAACAGTAATACAATACATGCAATTACCCAAATGCATATAAGAACATTTGTAGCAGCACTATTTCTAATCACCAAAATATGAAAACCACCGAATGCTCATCAAATAAAATGGATATACCAGAACACAATACAGTAATGAGAATAAACCAACTACTGTTACACACATACACCTTACAAACATATTGAGCAAAGAAAGCAAGACACAAAAGAGGTCACACTATGATTCCATTTATAGAGGGTTGAAATAGGAAAAAACAGTGAAGATGGGGTGCCAGAAGTGAGTGGGAGAGGGTCCGAAGAAACATATAGGGGTGCTGGCAGTGGTCCTTTTTTTTTTATTGAAGTATCACTGATACAATCTTATGTTGGCTTCAAATGTACAACACAGTGGTTCAACAGTTACCCACATTATCAAATCCTCACCCCCTCTAGTGTGGTCACTACCTGTCAATGGAGAAAGATGTTACAGAATCACACACTATATTCTCCGTGCTGTACTACTATCCCTGTGGGCAATGGTCTAGTTCTTGATTTGGGTGATGGTTACACCAGTCTGTTTGTTAGGGAAATCAACAAGCTATACACTTAAGGTTTGTATACATATTTGTTTATATATTTCAACACAGAGCTTAATTGAAAAAAATGCATATCCTACTGAGAGTGGGTCTGACAAAACCAGGGATTTGGGGGTCAAAGTGGAATGACCGATTCATCTTTGATAGGGAGGTGACTAGAAATATAGATGGGAGGATAAATTGAGGCCACACTGTGACATTCTCTCAACACAATACCAAAGACTTGAGCATTTATTCAGTAGACCATAGAGAGTTGATGAGGGTTGAGTGAGGCAATACCACCAGATTTATGTTTATAGAAAAATTTTTAGAGAAGTATATAGAAAAAAATTGAAAATGAGAAGAGAAGACACAAGGAGACTACTTTAAAAAATCATCGAAATAATGAGAAAACAATGACAGTGTGAGATGGCAAAAAATTAAAATGTGTTTTCCATGTGCCCACCCATGCCTCCGCCTTTATCTGGACCTGTTGAGTAAAGAAGTATGGATTCCCAAAACACTGGTATGCCTGGGAAGTTGCCATGTCTTCATTCAGGAGCATCTTCTCTGTTGATGACTTGAGGGAGAGCAGTGAGCCCCTGGAGAAACTGCTGTCAAACCATTTTTATTCTGACAAGTACTGGGGTGCAAGTTATTTGTCATGCTTCATATTTCAGGGCACGTTCAAGCATGGAATTCCCTATGAAGTTAAAAGAAAAGTTATGTTTTCCGTTGAAACAGCAAAACAGCACAGGACAAACTGCAGGCAGCACAGATCTGAGGACTATAAAGGTGGGCCAACATTTTTTGACACTGACTTCTACACTTGGATAAGGGAGTCTGATGTTAAGATGGGTTGGAAATACTAAACAGTAACAAGGAAAAAATGTACAGGGAACGCCTTAGCTGGTTTGTGGCTTTACATGTAACAAAAATGCTTCTCCAGCCCTGTGGACACAAGAAACCCCCCTGGTTGGTGAACAAGTGGTACATGCCCAAGATGTACATCTGGCAAAGAGGCAAGAAAACCCCCCTGCCTCTTTTTCCTTTTGTCTCTTTCTATATATAGGCTATGAGATGGGCAGATATGTGGAAAAGAGTCAGCCCTGCAGGCCAGAACTGCTATCCTTGGAAAGGCCTGCTGCTAGGCTGGCCCTGGGCTGGCATCTTGGAATTTAGATTCCCAGAGTGTTCCCCCCATTAACTGACTAGAGTGGCTTACTGTGCCTCAACTGTACAAGCAAGCAATACAGTTTATGCTTGTATTAGAGTAACAGAAGTAATAAGATACAGCTATGGATTCTTTTACACACTTTATACTCTATATCTACCTACCTACCTATCTATTGAGAGAATGATAGAGAAAAGAAAAAGATTTATTTTAAGGAATTGGCTCACACTGTTATGAAAGGTGGCAAGTCCAAAATTTGCAGGGTAGGCCAGCAGGCTTGAGATACAGGAAGAGTCAATGTTGCATTTCAAGTTCAAAGGCTATCTTCTGGCAGATTTTTCTTGCTTGGGAGAGGTCGGTCTTTTGTTCTAGTAGGGCCTTCAACTGATTGGACAAGGCCCACCCACAGTCCAGAGCATAATTTGCTTCATTCAAAGTCTACCAATTTAAATGTAAATCTCATCCAAAAATACCCTTACAGAATCATGAGAATAATGTTTGGTTAAATATCCGGGCACTGTGGCCCAGTCAAGTTGACACATAAAATTAACGACCACAGTGCTAACCACCTGCTTTCCTTCTAGAAGTCTGGATGAATGGTACATGCCAGGCAGAGGTTGCCTCTGTGATTGGCTCCCAGCAAAAACCTCGCACACTGAGTCTCTAAGGAGCTTCCAGGGTAGACAACATTTCCTAAGTGTTGTTACAACTTGTTGTTGGGGGAATTGAGTGCATCCTCTGGTGCTCCACTGGGAGACAGCCCTGGGAAGCGTCCATCTGGTTTCCCCCAGATGTGGACCGTGTGCCTTTTCCCTCTGCTGACTGTGATTTGCAGCCTTTTGCTGTAATAAATCATAGTTGTGAGCATGACTGGATACAGAGTCCTGCGAGGCTTCCCCATGAGCTATCAGACCTGGGGGGGATCTTAGGGGCTCCCAACACATGGCATTACAAGAGCTCATCTTATTCACTTGTTCCCTTGAAATATATTGAAAGACGTAACACAAGTCATCACATACTTTATCAGAAGGACATATGAATAACATAAAAACAGCTCAAGAGGAACTATGATTATATAGCACTTTGAGACAGGAAGGCTACACACATACTAAGTAACCAATAATAAGACAAATTATACTATTCTATTAATTCCAAAGGACATTTCCACAGATTTTTCACAGAAAACAAACCTAATTATGCACATCCAGAAAAAATGTTATAAACCTTTTAAGTAGACCTAGAATATTTTTAGTGGGAAGGGTAAGTACAGAGATCCATTAACTGAAGGGAAAAATATTTGGGGACTACTGAGTGAAATTTCACTGGAAATCAGTTTACTGGAATTATAAGGAAATATTTCATGTATAATGATGTCTGGATTTTGCTTAATAGTCTTACGAATTAACTTCTCAAATTCAATAAAAGTGTAGGAAATTTGCCTATGTTCACAGTACTTGAAAAATGGTAATTACATCTTCACATGGCCAGTGATAATTCTACTGTGGTCTATGTGCAAGAGTTTTTTAAGATAATTATTCTTTTTTTAAAAAAGCCACATGTATAAGAAGACTTACTGGTCTGGAATTTTGAGGATCCATGATGATGTGTAAACAAGAGTATCCTAAATCTTCAGGTCAGTCTTAAGATCCTTTATGGTCCAGCTTTAGTAAGATGTGTATTCCCAGGGCATTAAAACATTCCCAGGTACAATCTCTGGTTTGAAGGTGTTGTGTGACATAGTTCTGGGGTCATCCAATATCAGGGCTGCCTTGACTTTCTCTGTTGCTGCATGGGGAACAGAGTAATATGTAAAACTCCAGAAAAGTCACATAAGATGAGTAACCAAAAGCCTGATACCTGCAGAGTGATTAAAACCATACGCCTAGCAAATTTTATCCGATTTGTGTATCACAAATGAGGCTGACATTAGATCACTTGACACATATAATCTAAAGCAGTGGTTCTCAAATTGTGATTCTCAAATCATCATCACCTGGGAATTTGCTAAGAATGCAAATTATTCAACCACAATAAAAAAACAACCCAAGTCAAAAATGGCCAAAGGACTTGAATAGACATTTCTCAAAAAAAATACATATATATATATATACACACACACATACATACATATATACACAAATGTGCAATAAGCCCATGAAAAGATATTTGACATCACCAGCTGTAGTTTAAGGGCCTGACACTAAGCTTTTTGACTGTAATGTAAGCACCTGACATTAAGGGTTTGATTGCTGAGGCACCCATTTCAAAGAAATCCATTTCAAATAAACATATTGCCAGGAGTACAAGATAGCTCCTAGCAAACCAACCAGATACGAAACCAGGACACCCTCAACCATGAAGGTCCCCTTTTAGAAAGCCCTGGGTGACCTAGACAGCTGACTTCTTGAGTGACCCTGCTTCTCCCTTCCAGCACCCTAATTCCCACTCTTAGGCTTTACATTCACCAGTAGAGTGAGCCCAAAAAACCCTTGCACCCCACCCTCACCCCTGATAAAGGCAGAGCTCCATGTCCGATCTTGCTCTCTCTCATTCTATTGCAACCTTGTGGTGGCCCTCGGATATGCCGTGTACCCTCCCAGGACATATGAGCAGTAAACACTATTCCTCAAAGTCCCCTGATGGTTTTTGCTGAAGTGTGTCCTGTGATCATAATAAGAACCAGGAGAGCCCACCCAGCTTTATATAAGGGTCCCCGTGGGGGGAATGTGTGTGTAGTGATTGTGTTGTGTGCCTGGTGAGAGCCGCAGGCATTCCTAACCTGAGGGCACTACCATCAATAGACTTTAGACCCAGGAACACTAGCCATTAGGGAAATGCAAATCAAAACCACAAAGACATACCACCTCACACATATTAGAATGAAATTTTTTTTAAATAAAAAATTGCAAGTATTGGTGAGGATGTGGAGAAATTGGAATGTAATGTGGGGCAGCCCTTGGGAAAATGATATGGCAGTTCCTCAAAAAGTTACACAGAATTACCATAAAACCCAGCAATTCCACTTCCAGGTACATATCCAAAAGAACTGAATTCAGGAAATCAAATAGATACTTGTACACCTGTGTTCACTTGTACACAATAGCCAAAAGGTGGAAATGACCCGAAAGTTCATCACTTATTTACAAATAAATAAAATGTTAATTTTTTCCAAGGAAAGTAAAATAGGAAGAACACAGACTCTGAGTTGCACAAAGTGTGGATAGTGGGTTCTAACAGGGTTCCATGGCAGCTCCACAGGGTAAGTTTGTTAGGGACACTTTGAGAAACACTGTGGTATGTACTTGATAAATAGATGCTATTGATATCATTCCTATTATATTCCTGCAGTGTACCTCTGAAAGAAATTCTTTTAGTGAACTCTTACTTTCTGATTGTTTATATCTGCTTTGATTCCGCATGATCAGTAAGCACCCTGACTGCTCTCAATAGCTACCAAGAGCCAGTGGGTTCCCTATTTTAATCCACGTCTTTGTCTCTCTGGAATGTCCTTCTTCTGGAACGATGGCCACCCTTGGTAGCTGGCCTCTTTGGGTCTCCTCCACCTCTTCACATCTGAAGAGGGATTATTATAAATTTCCAATGCTAATGAAGACTTAAGATACTAAGTCAGGCAAACCGATAAAAGCTCAGTATAACTAAAGCCAAGCACCTTTTTTTGTGCTTGAGAAAAGCCAGAATGTTGCTCTGGTTCTTTAGAAAGGTTGGCTGAAGTCTAAAGATTTTCATTAAGTTCAGATTTGTTCCTCAAAGGGTCAAGAGAAATGATAAAAAGAATTTGAGAGTACTGTACTGGCGAGAATTGTAAACATAATTACCCACATTAGTCACATTCTATCCATTTTCTTTCTCTGAAAAACTGGAAAGGGAATCCAATAAAAATCTCTGTGATAATGGAACAGATCCCTGTATGAAGTGTAAGTACACTTGAGATGTGAGCCCAAATGACAACTGCACCTGGTGTTCGAATACTCTGTCCAGGTTAGGTGCTGAGATGACACTCTATCTAGAGATACGGATCACTGGTGTTCCTAAGAATTTCTCCTTGGGTGCCTTTGGATTGGCAGGAGCTCTCTCAAGGGAGATTGTGGCATGATTCTGGCCACTGCTTACAGAGTGCAACCAATTCCATCTGCCTGTAGAAGCACATGGTCCCTGGGCACCCAGGGGGCAGATCCACAGTCATTTCAGATTGACTATAAGGCCATTGATACCACTTGTCATTTGTAATGAGACAGTGGTGGTCAATGAGGGTACTTCTTGAATAACACTGCACCTAACTGGCTGATTAGTATTTATTGGACATCTGTGGTGTTCTCAATGTTGTTCAAAATAACACAATTATTATTATTGAAGGTGTGATTCCATGAAGCTTTCAGCATAGGAGAGTGTATATATTTGCAACCTCTGCATGTGAGTTCTCATATGCAGGGGTGGCATTCAAAATATTTAACAACCTGTATGGCCCAGCCACCAGCCAGTCAGATAGATGTCAGCCAACAACAATCAATGCAGCCCTACTTCTGCTTTTAACAGCTGAACATCAGCCCTGCTTATGTTGGACTGTTTCAGATCTACCATAAACTGATTGCCAACCCCAGCACACAAATGAGAAGACCAAATCATCGTGAGGTCCTAAGTCCCTTGAAAGAATGAGTGGACTACTCATCCATTGTGGAATGCCATCCAGCACAGAGGCTTACCTAGACAAATCGGAAAAGCCTAGAGTGAGCAGTGTATCAGAGGTGGTGCTAAGAGGTCCAACTGGATAAGACTTAGGTCCCACCTTCTCAAAAATGCAAGGATAGATCAGATTAAATAGCCCCTCCTCGCCACAGATTATAGGGGTACAAATGTGTAACAGGGATAATATGCAAGGACCTTTCCTCTTTTTATTTCTTAAAAAGATGCTATTAATAAACTGATGTCTTTTTAGAGTATTATTAAAATAACAATAGTTTCCTTTTCATAGTGCACATGAACAGAACAGTAAAATAATTGATTGAACTTGTTGGAAAGTTAAAACTCCCCCCTCCCCAGCTTGAGACTGCTTTCGAAGACTTTCAGCTGATGGGATGTAACCTGCATTATAGAAGAAAATCTCCTCCTTTACTTAAAGTCAGCTGAGGGTAGATGTTAAAAACGTTTACAAAGTATCTTCATAGCCACACTAGAAGACTGTTTGACCAAATAACTGGGTAGCCTAGCCAAGTTGACACATAAAACTAACCATCATGGTCTACCTCATCGACTTGGCACCTATACATCTCCTCAAACCACACTTAATCTCCAAATACAGACTAAGAAGTCATTTGTCAGCCTACACTGTGTACAGCTGAACATGTGCTAACGCTTTCCTCGGAAGAGGATGCAAAGTCCTTAGATAAAAGCAGAGTGTACTGAATTATCTTAGATAATTTATCCTTCTCCTTAATAACTTCAAGTGTAACTTAAATACTGTAATATAATTTACTATTATTAATAAATCCTGTTATATGATAAGAGCATAAAAGAGGGAAGAAAAAAATATTTATCTAAGACAAATATATANATATATATATATATATATATATATATACACATGTATGACAAAATATGGAAGAATATTCTTAACATTTACAGTTCTAGTTTCTACAACTGGCCAAGTGGTTATAGTTGGTATATTTACCTTCTTCTGTCATCTACTCTATAGTTCCATTACTTACAGCAAGCACCTGAGCTGGTCATGGTTCTTTGCCTGGTAGGGTGACCCAAATTTTATTCATAAAAGGTCTGGGCCATTTGTAGTCTTGCATACATTGGGTTGTTGTATTTTTTCCACTGACTTTAACCACAGGTAGTACTAAGAGATTCTCTAATGGATCTTTTGTACTCAAGGCAAGCTCTTCCTTATCTCCATTTTGTAGAAGCAGCCCAATTTCCTTTCGGTAATCAGGATCCACCACTCTAATACAGCAACCCCCTTCTTTGCCACTGGAGCCCAAAGTGGCAGATGGCAGTCTTAACTTCCAGTTCAGTGAAGTCACTAATGCGGCATCTTCCCGCGGAAGCATGCCTTGCCTTGGAACTAAGACTTGTAGACTAGCAGAGCATGGAGTTCTCCTGGCAGCAGGAATTATTTTAGAAACAGGCATGTGCCCCCGCTTGGGAATGAGAGGCAGGGAGAAACAGTCTTTTTCCACTTTCTATTTCACTGAGAAAGCAGAGGCAATCAAGTCTTTCTTAAATCTCCCACCACCACACACAGCCATTTATCTTATCAGTGCCCATACCACTGTGCCTTCTCCCTTGGCAGAAACATCGCCCAGGAATTATCCAATCTTCTGCATCACAAATTTCCCCGTCTACCAGATTCTCCTCAGCAGCATAGAATTGTTTTCTTTCCCCCATCTTAAAACCCCTTCTCTTAAGTGACTGCTAATGGTTATGAGATTTTTTTTTTTTTGGAGTGCTGGTGAGGTCTTCGCGCCAACATTCACCAGAGGTAACCGCAATCACCTCCCACCTCTGAGTAGGGGGGGCTGAGCACGCCTGGTGTGCCTCACCACCTATTGTTCAGCCAGTGCATCAGCTCCATTCTGATTGGCTACATACACAGTTATGTAAGTCATTACATCATTACATATGATTGTTGGCTAGTTGAGCTGCTCCTTAGCGATACATTCCAGAACTTCTGTAAACTTTTCTAAACTTGTTTATGACTTTAGGGGATAGCAGATGTTCATTTGTTTTGCGTTAGGAAGCCATGTGCTAATATTAACGGAATA